AGGGAAAGGCATTTTCATTAGAGAAATGTGAGCAAACACCCAGAACGGCGAATGTACGTTTGACAAAAGGAGTTTCTGAGGAATGAGAAGGAAACCAGCCAGAAAACATCTAAAGGAGCCCTTCAGATTTATTCAGGAGTTGAACATCAGACGGTTCACAACAGTGAAGCAAATGGAACGAGGGCTCCTTCTAATGATCCTCGATTGTTAAGTGTCAGTGGCTTGGTTTAATTTCGAACTAATGCCACTGTAACTTCAGCTAATAAGGTCCACTTATTCTCAGAATATTAATTAGAAGCCTTTCACAGAACAAGTGAATAACTTTATGAGCCCTGCGTTATGTCAAAGTTGACTTTAACGTAAGGCCTCTGCACTACTGCAAATATGACAGATGCCCTATTTTTGCACGAAACCTTACAGGAATAACGAAACTATACATACCTTAAGATTTCTGAATATAACTTCAGCGTTTGCAGTTCATCTATTTCATGTAGCTTCCCCCTGACCGAGTAATAGGATTATGCAGTGAAGTTCGTATAGATGAAACGACGGTCGTACATATTTATAAGCGTTAACATATATAATACATAACTTATATATTTATGAATATGAGTTGGCTATCACTCATTCAGCCGCGTTAGCCATAGATCCTTCTCGCAGTTGCAGTTGCCACTGTCGGCAGTGGAACTGGTCATAAAATAATTTGGCTGGTGAATGATCCAACGAACGAATGCTGATAGAGGATCTGTTTCAGTAATTTGATGAATAGGTGAAAATGAAAGTTGTACTCAACAGTAGTAAAAAATGCCAAATCCATTGACTTTTGCTCCCCCAAGGATTCCTATGGATCGACAGTCGAGGAATAACTGACCAACGTTTGTCGGATTGTCCCAAACTAATTTTTTGTGGAAATATGATCTCAGATGGCCTAAGAAGAGGCACTGATCAAAACGACTGAGATATTAAAACTTTTTCAATAGACTGAGGGAGACGATTTCTGACATAGAAAAACTTTACAGCGTGCTGACCCTCTTGATTCTAACTAATCACACCAAACAAATATATAGTGAATGCGTCATTGCATTCAGATATTTAAAGCGAGAACACCCAGTCTACAAATCTCATATTTTTACCGTCAGTCCGTCCCCAGCCCGAAACCACACATTGGGTGTTGTCAGCAACGTCCCTTTCTGCCAGACAAACGCTGTTCACCTTCTGATTAAAGGTCAATTTTTCTTTCAGCTTCAATACGGCTATATCGTTACTCGTTTGCATGGGTCTTCCGTAGCCTGGATACTTCCAGATTCGATCTACTTTCACGACATTCTCTTTGGAGCTATGCAGGTTATGCTGGCCAATCAACACTTTGTACAAACTAGGCAAATTCCTAAAAAGTAACTGAAGAAAGAAACGTTTTAACAAATAGTTCAAATCAAGAATATATTTTGGCAATTTAACAAATCTCATGAGCAGTTCGTGTGTTTGAGTATGGAAACAACGAAAGACTCCTCCATGACCAAATTTCTCGACGTACTTCGACGTCTCTTTGCTCAGGGGTGGTGCAATGAGCGGTGAAAACTGGTCATGGAAGAATCATCCGTTATTTTGCATATTCGAACATACGAACAGACTTATGATGTGCATGCAGTAACATACAAAGTGTACCAGCTACTGAGAAATAGTTCGGGATGAGCGCGAGGTGACTCTAGCGGACAAAATGATGTGAGGTGAATCCGAAACTGCAGATGCTCGAATCCTATGGAATCGTGACCTGCTAAAGTGCCCTCCCCTAAGGCAACTAGTAGCAAGAAAAGGTGCAATACACCACGACCTCTGGTGGGAGGGTCATTCGTCAATTTATTAAATCAACTGATGCACTGGTTGGTCATTCTCAGTGAACACATCACTCTTTGAGAAATGAACGACAAAACTTCATGATAACAAAATAATGAAAAAGTGAAACCGCCAGAATGTTCCATGAACCAGAGAACACAAACCAGTGAGACAAGGTAGAGGACACACAATCAAAGAAGGCACCGGCAATTGCATGTTGGTAATAAGTATTCAGTTTTTGCAATAAATCACTGTTTATGCAAATGTATTTCAATTTGCGCAGATAAGATTAAAGGGATCTACGATTGGTGAGTATGCACCGATCCATCTGCTTGGTACAATTACTTTCAAATTTTCCCACGTGTTCAAACTTTTATAACTGAGCTGACGTTTAGATGCAGGTCTAAAGTTTCATTAAGCATAGCATTAAAGCTTGATAGAATTAACATCTTGAATTCATCAGTTCATATTCATTATTTGTATTTCCGCACACTGAAACAGGTTCCTATGCATGGATGGAGACAGCTGTGTCGACATGAATAGCATGCAGGTTGCCAACTATGTATACCAACAATGGTATCGATATATTTTTGAATATCATATGTGCATCGGCCGTCAGGCTGATGCATGAATTCGTTAGACCGGGAGACCGGAGAAGAAAGAGGCGTCAGAGGAGGACAGCAGTAACTGCGTTAAAGCGTCGCAACTCGACGGTGAGCTGCCCATGCCGGCGAAGGCGAAACCTCGACTAACAGTCCTCTCAGGCATGATTGTTGGGTTACTACCAGAGCTGATGGGAACAAATCGATGGACACTCAAAGAGCGATGAAAAAACATGCAGAATATCTCTCCAGGATCACATATTTGACATCTAGAAACGTGATTTCCGTTTTCTGCTAAAAACGATGAGTTGGTCATGTGACTCACCTGAGAAGCAACCTGAGGATGTTAAGGAATAACAGACTGGCTTCTGTTGGAATACAAGCGTCCATTGGTTTGCCGAAGAACGTTCTGGAATGACCGATGGTCAAATTACTAGGCAAGCGCGGAGACAGAAAGTGCACAATAGAGAATATCGGAGAACCGTTGGCATCCGTCGCAATGAAAGTCAGATAAGAGGTGACGAACTCTGACCGTAGATTTATTAAACGACGGGTTGACTCCGTCAAATATTCATATTTTTCTTGATGCCGCGGACTTCTGCGCCTAACAGCAACTCCGCAGTTTTTATTTATGAATATTTGCCGTTATTAACAAGAGAATGCAACCCTTCTCCTAGGTGTAGTACCAGGAGTCTTAGCTGATGGAGCTATGGTATATGCCAAAGCGGAAAGGAAAATTGACATCCGTGGACATCTCTGGCAATTCTTGAACGACGCGTAAGTGAAGTACAACAGAAACAAGTAGAAAGGCTTCATTATTAAAGTATAGTTTTCACGAGGGATCGCAGGGGTTATTCGAATAGAAAAATCAATCGCCACGTCGCAATGAAGATGCTGGACCTCTCTGGAGTAATTAATAAAGTGCTTGGTGTATTGCGAAGATGTCGCTTTCTTCAAGCATCTACACGCCCCCATCCACATCTATGGCTACCAGTGCTGGCAGAGTGCGATGTCAGGTAATGGCGGCAGAAGTGAGGCTTTCGATGGGTTGCTGGCTTTGGGGGACTCGACAAGGTCCAGAACGGGACAGTTCGAATTATCCTCATTTTCGACTCAATCATTTTGTAGGTAGAGAGATCGCAATTGCTCTGGTCCCTATATTTTGCGAAGAGTACTTGGAAATATGACAGGAAAGATTCCCCAGACTCATTCCCTTGCAGGCACAGGTCGCTGGCCAGATGACTCGGTTAATCAGAAAGCCTGAGATTGTCGTGCCTCAGAATCTAAACCGTTGGACATGTTCGTTTGACGGCTAATCGAAGGTCGTCTAAAACAACTATTCCTCGTATCGAAAGGAAAAGCGAGTTTTCAACTGAATGATTGAATTAAGTTGTTTATTAATTGGAATACAGGTAAAACGTTACAGTTAAATTCTTTTGCATAGATACTGTAATGTTAAAGGTCTTTCATTACCGCCTTTCATTATTCCTTATTTTCAAAATTTTATGAAGCATATGTTTCACGGCTCTTGCATGATATTTACTTGTATTCAATGCAGTGGGCAGCCGTCACAACGTAGTCGTTACTGACGAGTACACCACCGCAGATCTGTCTGTTAATGAACAGCAGCGCGATCTGCCACGGCCAACTATTAGGTCTTGCCTCAAAGCCACCAATGATGCGGTAGTGGCTACTCAACCTGTTGTCCAACGATAGCCTTGTCAGAATCGGAGGCACCGACGATATTCCACAATTCGGTGTGGGAGCGATGTAACCGAAGTCTTTCTCCAACGCTTCGTTCTCGTAATGCGTATTTCCATGTGGAGGTCTATGAACTGATGAGTGATATCCCTGGTCGCAAGGTAGAAACACCCACTCCATTAAATGCCTCGTGGTTGCGTTGTCTCTGTGATCATTCGCGTCTGAAATATGAGGTTTCATTAGCTAATAAACTCATGCCTAAAAAACAGGAAAGTTAATAACGACTTTGCTACTGCACAACACAACTTGAAATCAAACTTTACAACGTCCAGAAACTCCATAGGGGAATATTTAACTTTATGAATGGAAGATGATTATCAACTGGAAGTAATAACAAAAGGAAGTAATACATATTTCTCTTAACTGGTAATCGTTTTGACTAATCTTTCCTCATTATTCAAAACTTGCAACGAGTAAAGCTTGATTGACTGCAACGACATGTGATCCGATAAGTAAAAATGCCATCTACTTCCTAGTGTCGCTAACAACACAATTGTAAATGATGGATATCTGCATCTTCCATGATGTGGCTTTGGCGAAATTTTTCTAAACTATTTATCTCTATCTCTTCGGATTGTTCAATTTTACCCTGTTTAAATAATAACGGGAGAGGCATACTTGCGCTAGAGACCTGAAAGGAAAGATTAGCGACATCCTCCATTAATCCCAGCGAAATTGTTACTATATTTAATATTGTAATCTTCTAAAAAATAATGCCTAATGAAACGTGCATAAGACGCAGAAAGTAAACATTGAAATAGTGCTCCTCAACAAAGCGAGTTTTTAACCAAGTGAGAAATGGTTTTGCCGGTAAGCGACTTACTGACCTTTTTTTATAGTGGAATAAATGATGCATTCTCTCTATACTGGCCGTAAAACAAACTGTCAATCACTAATCAAGAATAAGTAAAAGAGTTTTCATGGTGATTTAAGACGGCTTGAGTCATCTACCACGGATCTAAGGAACGCCTGTGCAGACACGTATTTACAGTAAATTCGCAGATGTTCCATCGACGGCGAGTTAACTCTATAATTTAGGCGATAAATCATAAATCATCCAGCACAAAAAGAGGTAACAAAATGTCTGTTATCGGAATATAACAGTATTTCGGAACTTCATTAACAATGAAGAATTCCGTTTTTGGCCGTTGCGAAAGCAAATTTCGTATAATAATACGGTTCAATTCATGCGGATTACTAGCAGTTGTAGAAACATAGAGTCATGGATTTTACTACCACAGGACGTAGACTTGCAACTTTGCCAGGAATAGCTTTTAACTCTTTAACTATATTGCTAAAAGTGAGCCATATCTTTCAGACAGTTTTTTGCTTTCAAAATTGAGTATTTAATTATGTTGTGGTGAAAATCAAGTACATTAGCATTGTATCGAACTGTGAAGTTAGGATTGATCAAACAAGCAACGAATCGACACCTCCCTCAATTTTAACGCAAATTGCTCATGCATTACCAATCATAAAAACAACGCAAAGCAGTTTGCTACACACGAAGGAAAGAAGCAAGCCCTATGTTTATCAATCGATAGATTACCGTTTCGCGTGTGCAAAGTTCGAAACGTCAGATGTCCCTAATTAAAGAACATTTTACGCGTTGTCTCATGTGTAATATATATGCATCATTTAAAACTTTTGCACGTGACTGACAAAAACAAAATTTTTCGAACCGGTGGAACATGAGATATCGTGGATGAAGGTTGAATTTTTGTGTTTGTTCATCAACGGCCGCTGGTTTAGAGACTCGTCGACCATGACAGACAGAATTTCACATTCCTTTTCGAGTAGGAAGTTGGCCGAAGTACAGAGGAGCAAAGAATAACATTTTTGGGCGCACTTCTGTTCGCTCTCTTCGACCGTTCTGCCGATGATCGTCGCCAGCACCCTGGTCTCCTTTGAGGTAGAGAAGTCGATGCGGCCTGCACATTGTCGTTCTTCCTCTAAAATCAGTTCGCTTTCTGTGCGATTGCGATGAACTTCAAAACGTGTGCTGGCATTCGTCGAAGCACGGCCATCGTCTTTTGTAGTAGAACAGTGTACAAAACTTGGGCTACCTAAAAACAGCTGAATCTGTGTAAAATTAGAAAAGCGTGGCATATACGGTAAGTAAGTTTAAAATTGAGAAGGCAATTCGACAGAACGATGAAGTAACACCGAAGCGCTTCCCCGCAGCCCTAGGAAACGTCTTCAAGACATGACGCTGGAAGAGAAGGGGCTGAACATAAACGGGCACTACCAAAGCCACCTACGGTTTCGGGATTGCATTTTGAGGGCACGGGAAAAAGGCATGGGAAAAACTTCAAAGAACAATCCAGAAGCATGAGAGTGGGAGTGAAAATGAATCGAAAATAGACTCAGGTTATGTTTAAAAAACACGGCCATGTGACCT